ATTTCTCAAGGGCCTTCCATTCCTGTTTTTCGTTACAAAAGTATGTAGAGACTGTGCCATGGAAATGCACCAGTTAGATGATGATTGATAGTTAACTATCAAACATTGTTTAAATTTAAAATCAGGCAGATTGATTCTGGTCAATGCATTGCTGTCTCAAGGCAAATCACAAAAAGCTTCAAAAAAAAAAAAGTCTCCTTTTTCAGCAATACTTGATTTCTGTGCCACCAAATATATGGAAACATATTTATGTATCAACAACCTCATACTGCTCAATCTTCACTGTCTTTTATAGAAAAAGAGAAAGTAAGAAACCATTCCTTAAAGAAAATTCTCCCAAATATTTAACTGTGTAATCAGTGTGTGATGTCGTGAGCTGAGCAGAAAGCATTTGCTGTCATACGTGCAAATTACTGGCAATTCTGCTCAATCATAATGAAGAACCTTCAATGTGCCTGCTGCTCCAAATCGCTTTCGGTCAGCAAAACCAGGAATCTGTTTAAAAAAAAAGTACATCTTTTAAACAAAAGCAAATTACAATTGTAGTGTTCTCTTGGTTTCTGTGCACTCTGAATTCAGTTGCTAATCTCAATCATTAAAACTGAACTCCCTCTGACATGACCCATGAAGACATGCTGTACTTTGCTGATTACCCAAAGAGAGGTTATCTATATCACATTATTTGCCTGTCCAAATAGAACATCACCAAAATCATCTATAATAAAGTAAATAACAACTTTTCTTTGCTGAATTAAAAAGGCCAAGATGCAGAAAAGGCCTTAGAAAAGGACAAAAAATTCAAGTCAGCATTGTTGGAAGTTAGTAATTGCTTAACTCTCATCCAAACCAATCACATACATAGGTAATATATTAGCTTAGCTGAGAAGGTAGGAGGGCTAATTCACTTAAGAATTTGTAGCTTTCCTGAGCTATTGTTTAAACATAAGATTACCACTCTTAGCAAGTGGCACTCTCAACAGAAGCGTGGTTGAACTGCTCATAATTACAGCACACCTTATAGTTAGCTTACTGGAAAAACTTACTGGACAGAGCAGAAAAATCATAACCTTGTGTAAGTAGGAACATTTTGATACAGGAATTTAGGAACAGTGCTGGGGCACAGCTGACAGAGCTTCATTAGGACTGTCTGCTTTGCATCTAATCTAGGAGTGCCTTACTGGAACTAACATATTGCTATTTTATAATGTTCCAATATAAATTTCAGGAATTTTCATTCAAAAAGCAATGTTATATTGGCTGGAAAGTAGGAAGAAACAGCGATGGAGAGGAGGGGATCATAGAATCCCTACAATGTGGAAACAGGCCCTTGGCCCAACTAGCCCACATCAACCCTTGGAGCATCCCACCCAGACCCATCCCACTATACCCACCTAAGCTACATATCCCTGAACACTACGGACAATTTAGCATGGCCAATCCACCTAGCCTGCACATTTTTAGACTGTGGGAGGAAACCGGAGTACCCGGAGAAAACCCACGCAGACACGGGGAGAACGTGCAAACTCGCACAGACAGTCGCCCGAGGGTGGAATCGAACCCGGGTCCCTGGCGCTGTGAGGCAGCAGTGCTAACCACTGGACCACCGTGCCGCCCCTATGGAGGGGAGAAAGACAGAGAAAAAGATGGTACTCAATTGTTGAGTTTAAGACAAAAACTAGAAGCTAAAGTGAATTGTGGTTTTTTTAGCATTCAAACTTCTTTGCTCTGTACTGCTTTGTTTTTCAGACTTGCATTCATATCCAGCCAGACAGACAATCGGCTGCAATTGCGGGATTCTCCAAGTTATTGCTGGGCTCAGGCAAAACTATTGATTGACTTTAATCCAGTAAATTACAGACAAGCTGATAAAGTATCAGGAAAAGTGGACAGAACTTGCATTTGTATAACATCAATGCCCTGGTGGTATTATTGCTGGACTGTTAATCCAGAGACCAAGATAACGTTCTGGGTTCAAATCCTGCTACGGCAGATGGTGGTATTTGAATTCAATAAACATCTAGAATTAAGAGCCTTGTGATAACCATGAATCCATTGCCGATTGTTGGGAAAACCCATCTGGTCACTAATGCCCTTTAGGGAAGGAAACTGCCATCCTTATCTGCTCTGGCCTACATGTGACTCCAGACCCACAGCAATGTGGCTGAATCTCAACTGCCCTCTGGGTAATTAGGGATTGGCAATTAATACTGCCTAAAAAAGTGATGCCCTCATCCCATGAATGAATAAAGAAAAAAAACTTTATCTTCATCAGGAGGTTCAAAAGTGCTTCACAAGTAAATTATTTGACAAGTATTGTGATGTATACAAAAACAGCTGCCAATCTGCACACAAGATTCTGCAAATGGCAAATGAGAAAAGTGACTAATTAGTTGAAAAAAATGGATAATAGCTAGCATATCTAAAAGTACAGATTTTATTTGAAAAATGGCACAGGGTCTTTTAATGAACAGGCAGACTTGGATTTGTACTGTAAGTGAGAGAAGGTACTGTAAAAATGCAACCTTCATTGGGCACCGCACTGAAATGTAAGTATAGATCATATGCACAAATCCTGAACTATGCACTTTGTTAACAACATTTTGACACACGGTTAAATATGTGACTAGGTGTGCCAAAGCATGGAATGTGATCTAGCATTGGATGTTATTCTGAAGCTGACGTACACCGCTGGAGCTCTGCTCTCAAACAAAATCACACTGAGCAGATTGGTTTGATCCTGAAGTTGGTACTGATTGAAACACCTGAATTTGAAAAACAATTGCTAGAGTTACTAAATTTAGCTGAACCACTATACTGGGGAGGAAAGAAGCAGGTAGATTCTGGCTTGGCAGAAGAATATAAACTTAAAGATGTACATACCTGATTACCGTCGCGTGAAAAATACCTCCTTTCTATTACCTGAAAACATGAAACAGAGCAATTATCATTACACACAGGGCAATGGTAGATGGAGATACAGAATGGAGGAAATAACGTGCTTTGATCACTTGAGAATTAAAAAGATGCAGCATCATGTGACTGTTTCAGAAAATTGTTTGCAGTGTGATTAAATTATTCACTAGTTATACAGACATCCTCAGTACACTGTCTCTCCCAGGAAGAAATATATTTTCATGACAGTAGGACAGTGCATTTGAACACAGCCAATGATTTGATGCAGGATTACAAATTGCAACAAATCCTACAAGTTTACATTTTCATTTTAACATTACATCAACGCAGCAGTGAAATTCATAGTTTGAGCAGACAGGAACAACAACAGATCACTCGTCATAATGATTAACATCCAGAATATTAACACAAAATGGGGCTTTTGTACAGAGCAATTTCCATAAATGCAATGAAAGAAATTCTATACGGCTACTAAAAACCAAACTTTTACTTTTGAAAAGTTCATTTTTTAAGCTTCCATCTTAATCTGAACAAAATCACTTGTTTCACTGGCTAAAAATCTAAAATTAAATAATATCGCTGCATGTTTAATCCAATGACACATTGCCTGTACTGTGTACTTATTGAAACTGGCTGCAAGATAGATGCTCCCAGACATACCATATGGATTGTTTTGTATAAGTATGTACTGGATTTGCTCAACTTCCTTGATTCATTTGTGGTTTCATTGCTACCTTTCCATTTGACTTGGGATAGTGTGGAGATGACATGTAGTGTTGAATTTCCCAACTCATTATGAAGTGGCTGAATTCTTCATTTGTGAACTGAAGCCTACTGTTGCTCATCACAATGTTAGGAATGCTGTAATGGCTAAAAATGCTTTCAGGTATTCTACAATCTTACCAAGAGTTGTTAAAGTCAGGTGGTTCACCTCCCAGTTGTCAGAATAGCTGTATAAGGGCATAGATAATCAGTCTCCGCAAAAGTAAACAGATCAACTTCCAGCTTCATCTATCATTTGTCCGAGATGCCCCACGACATCAGCTACACTATACTGTGTTTAGCTTGGTACAAAGTGCAAACACAGCACTGGCTGATATGATGCCCGATTTAATTGCTTAGGTTTGACTTATGGAGTATATTTCTTGCCTTCCTCAGTCTTGATTCAATTCCTTGGTGGGTTGCATAGATGCATTTTAGAATCTTTTCTCTCAACTCATTGCAATTCCTTTGTACACCATTTTGGGTTAACAAATCATCTCTTTATGCCCAATATGTTCCTATGACCACAGGAGTGCCCTAGATATTTAGGGTCACCATTGCATCATTATATCTTGCAGTACTTGGAGAAATGAGAGTTCAGAGTGTGTGGGTGCATCCTCTACTTTCTACATACGGAGTGCTGCTCTTGACAAAATATCTTATCAACATAGCAATGTACAACTGTTTCCTTTGCTTATACATAACATCGAGATGATATTTCTGAAATAGGAGTAACATTCTTCGCAAATACTTTGTAGGCAGTAGCAACTTGAGAAAAATGCTTTGAAATAGTTTGTGGTTGGGCTTAACTGTTCACAAATGTTCACAAGCAAAAGACAATGACGCTATGCTCAGATCAAGAGAGTATCATTCTGTTTGTGTTAACACCCTCTAAGCAAACGCAACCAGCTGTTGCTGCATTGGAGCAATCAACTCCTGTCTCACTGGCATAACATTGCAGAATGACTTCTTCACTTAGATTATAGAATTTTAAGACTGGCACTGTCATCATTAGTTGCTTGATGTTAGTGAGTAAAACTTGTTCTATGTCCCAATACTACTGGCAGTGAGTTGGCATAATGGTTCACACTCAGATGACAAATTAGGGAAGAATATTGCTGAATAGTTGAAGATGTCAAACTGTTGCACTGCTTTTACATCTGTTGGTTGCAGCTACAGCTGTGTTTTGGAATTTGGGTGAGGCCTTTTGCTGTCAGTACATGGGCTATGTACTAGACTTTATTTGCAAATTTTTCTTGTTCAACTGGCAAGCTACGTCTCACAGTCACAGCAGATTTTGATCGTGGTCAGTGGCTCTTTGAACCTTATGCATTACTGCTTACACTCTGTGGGAAGTTCCCATAATGTTGTTTCAAACTTACAGCAAGCAACTCACCTCATAAGTCACTAAAAAAGTTTGTCCACTATTTACAAAGCACAAGTCAGGAGTGTAATAGAATACTCTGAACTTGCCTGGATATATGCAGCTTCAACAATACTCAAGAACTTGGCATCATCCAGGTCAAAATAGCCTGCTTGGCTGGTACCACTTCACATCATTCAATCCTTCTATCACTGACACTCAGTAGTAGTGTGTGCTATCTACGGATGCACTGCAGAAATTCACCAAAGGGCCTCTGACAACATTTTCTATATCCAAAACCACTACCATCTAGAAGCACAAGAGCAGAAGATACATGGGAACACACCACTGCAAGTTCCCCTCCAAGCCACTCACCATCCTGACTTGGAAACATATCACTATATCACTGGGTCGAAGTCCTGGTACCCCCACCCAAATAGCACTGTGGGTCTACCTACAACAAAAAGTCTGCTGCAGTTCAAGGCAATTTGTCACCACCTTTTCAAGAGCAACTAGGGATGGACAAGAAATACTTGCCCAGCCAGCAGCACCCACATCACTTGTGAAAAAAAAACTGATTCTTAGGGCTGAGACTTCCTAAAAGGGTGTGAATGATTTTACTGGAATTTTCAGCAAATAATAACTGCTCAATAAGAATTTCAATTCATTGATCATTCATATGTTATACAGGATTAAGATTAGTTACAGCAAGAATTTAAAAAACGTACTTTATCAAAAAAACGGCTCAGTTTCACAGCATTGGAAGAACCTGCAGCCAAATATCGTGGATTGGTACAATCCTAAAACAAATAGTAGAAAATGCATCAATAAACCAGCAGTCCAACAGTAATTATTTAAGCAAAACCAAAATACTTTGGAAGCTAGAAATTTGAAATAAAACAAGTACTGGAAGAAGAAAAAGTGACAGGCCTGGCAGCATCTGTGGAGAGAAAAACCACAATGTTTCAAGTCAGTGACCCTTAATTAAGCTTCTCATGCAAGGCAACAAATCCGAAACATTAATTCTGTCTCTTCATCTCTGGTGATGCTGCCAGCAATTATCCAACTTTATGCAAATTAGTTTATACTACATGCTCACTTCCCACTTTAATAACACTGAATTTCTTTGGGAGCACAGAAAGTAGCTACTGTTCTTTATTATTTGGGATATATCTTTCTTTTTAAAGAAAAATGTATTTCGATCACAGTATATTAATTCAACATATGTATAAACATATTTCCATATGAAATTGCTGACAGCCAAGATGTCCTGATGCAACCCAGCATGTGGTCCTGAGTTACAACATGGTTCATGATTAGCCGATTTTAACTGCGACAACATTGAAGGCTGTAAAGTTGACCTCAGTCAGAGGAAGAGTAAAACAAAATCAAGCAGGGTGTCTGATACAAAACACAACGCAGTGATCACACTGCTAGAAAATATGAATGGGGACATGGATGGTCTTGCCTGAGAGAACAAGAATGAAACAAACATGATACTGCATTGGAATGCATTTTCACCTTATTGTTGATGGTTAAATTTTAAATTTGAAATGTTTTAATATAATGAACGCCATTATTAAGAAATCAAAATCAACTCTAATCTTCACACTATATCAGAGCATTATCATTTCAATTTCTTAGCTGAAGACCAAACCAAACCATCACAGCCTTCTTGGACACAATGTCAGAAATCCAATTTAGTCCAGTCCACCCATTACTATATAATAATTACATGATTTTGTTAAACATAGAATCATTGAATGTAAACTTGATATAATGGAATACTTTTCTATCTTCACTCCTATAAGAATTTGAATCAAAAGTATAAAGAGGACACACCAGATTAATTTCTTCAGCATTGAAATCTTCTGCCAAGAATGCAGTCCTTGTCAAAACCTCATTCCTTTTAGTTTCATGAATTTGGTCCAACTTAGTACCAATGACCAATAACGGAATCTGGTTATCAGCAAACTGTTCACGATCATAGTCCCTTTGAAAACAAAAAGGTTGAATTTTGGCTTCTATATGGCTCACGTAAACTTGGAATTACAAAAATGAAAGACTAAATTCGATGCTGAGTAGTAACTGTGAAAGGATTGCATTCAGTTTTTCCCCACATCCCACAGTAGCTGAACTTTGCTTTCATATATCACTGGGTGCATCTTCTCTATCCATTGACTGTATTTCTTATTTTAATTTACCCTCTGATGACAAATCCCTTCATCCAACACTCTGCACTGGCTGTAGTTTCCCCTTGGTTATGGTTAGTCGCCGTCCAAACTTGTCTCTCCCTCCGACTTATTAGTAGTCTCAACAATAAATGGCTTCAATGCTTCAACCTCCATAACCCCACTGATCAGAATTCACTTCTGTTATCTTTTGCTCAGTTGTCTGAATTATCTGATCATTGGCTTTCCTCATCCTTTTGACAGGATTTCCCAATCAAGGGAGGCAATTCTCCCATTACTCCCTGCACTGTCCTCTCTCCACTCCATCTTTCCTCCTTCTACTCACGCTTCCCTCTTTCCCCAATTTCATACCTCAAAATCCCCGTCCGTCCCTTCAGATGGATTTCAGTTCCCCAGCAAACCAAGCTGACCCGAAAACAAGCAATTTAATCGAGTTTAGCCACGTGCAAAACTACACAAAAATCAACCTAATTGAGTATTGCCTGTTTACTCTTAATCAAGTTGTGGTTTGATTCAACAGTACACATAAAACTCTTAAGTCATCAAAAGGTTTATTTCAGTAGATCTACTGCTATTTCTTGCAGAACTCAGGTTATAATAGAAGTAATAACGTACCCGTTCGTCACTATGACTCCAGTAGGAGATGAATCCTTATTTAAAGCTTCTAATGACCACCTGTAGAGATTCTGGGATGACTTTTTGTTTGTACAGTCGTGCACTAATATTACACCTATAAAAGCCAAAAAAGATAAAACATCAAAACCATAATTAGAAAGACAAAACCTTTGACTGGTTCAGTCACCCAATTACAATGCTATTGTCAAACTAAATGTGCTGAGGGATGGGACTTTATTGTAGGAACTCATGTAGATCTCACCAATATTGCAGTAGAAAAGTAAATACCAAAAAACTAATTCTCAAAGCCTGTCTACCAACTGCAAAAGGAAAAATAAAAATCAGAACAGAGGAAGGGTCACTGGACCCTCCAGCAACTTCTGTTCTTGTTCCTGATTTACAGCATCTGCAGTTCTTTTGTTTTTTTACGAGGAAGAGATTAGGATTCTGATGGTATACCCTTCACCGGCCTGGATGTATGTGGATCCAACAATGCTCAAGACACTCAACAGCACCGAGGACAAAACAGCCTGCTTGTTTGGCACCTTATCTCCCACCTCAAACAATCGTTGGCAGCAGTACGTACCTTATAAAGGACCAACTGCACCAAATTGCCAAGTTTTCTTAGATAGCATTTACAAACCTGTGATCTTAACTTGCACATGCATGGGTACACCATAACTGGTAAGTGCTTCAAGTCAAACATCATCCTGGCTCGGTAATGTATCATGGTTCCTTCAATGTTGCTGGGCCAAAAGCCTGGAATTCCATCCCTAACAGCACTGTATTAGAGGTACACCAGATAAAAAGCAACATTTCAAGAAGGTATCTACAGTGAGGCTCAAACACTCAACTTGCTGCCTGAGAAATGAGAATGCCACTAATTGCGCTAAGTTGTCAGCATTTTTAAAGTCAAGTGTCAAAAACACCTAATTCCAGTTGTACACCTGCAGTATAAAGATTTTCCAAGACTTTTCCAAATGTTTTTATTACAAACTTCATACAGAATTTTATACATACAATGCTTGTATATACTCATCGTGAGTATAGTGCAACAATTTGTGCTCTATTAGGGAATGTTTACACATTCCAAACAAACTAAACTTTTTTTGTCAAAGAACATCAACTGAATAACGGGAATGGAGTCAAACTGAATTTGAAAAAAAAATCAAAATTCAAATGTGAATAGATTTGGAAAGAACATTAATACTCTGACTAGAACTCCTGTGGAATGGAGACTGTTGGAAGACGTACTGTTTCATGAAGAGCCCATCTGGTCATACACGACGCATTGTATGATATACAAGCTGGTACTCTTGACATCACAATATTTAATTGCTAACCTGTCTGCACGGGAAGTAGAGGTTAATTACAGCGACAGCAAATCAAAAGTTACACAGATGAAAAACGTTTTGGAAACCTAAGGACATGGTAATTTTCTTTCTTTAAGGAAAATCTTAAATCAGTTGGCTTAACCAGAAAACCTGCAGGAAATAGTTTTGATTCATTCACTTTAAGTCTCTTCCTATGAAAAATATCACAGGTAATTTTTTTTTTATATATAACAAAGGGCAAGGTTTGAGTTTGAAGGTGACATTTCAAAACATTGATATAACTGAAATGGTCCATAACATATTTCAGGACAAAAGAAAGCAATCCTGACTTGAACCAATATCTAAGACCGATTTAACTCCAAAATATATAGTAAAGGACCATTTATAGCCAATTTAAAAACAATAAAATAATCGCAACACTAAAGGAATTGTAAAATAGAATTGAAATGTAAGAAATTGGATTTTGTCTGGTGTTGATAGGAATTTTTCGTCCAAAATACAATTGGTAAAGTAGAATCCATACATTATTTTAAAAGTTTTCAGTTAAAGAAAACATCACAGATTTGATGAATTACATTGTTTCTTTGCTTAATATTCTTTAATTTTAAGATTTGAACAGTTTATGCAAAATAATGCAGAGTAAAAAAAAGACTCAGTTTATGCATAATTACAGACAAAAATATTGAAAAGCAAAAGTTGCTTCCATACCATTCACAGAGTTGTAAAACACAGCTCTAGTGCTTTTAATACTGTTGGCATTGCCCACAGATCCACCAACATCCCAAAGTTCGATGTAATAGGTTTTCTCAGCTGGCGTGCCTTCTTTATAATCATGAACCTGAGTTAAAGAAAAAGAATAAAATGTATAGAAATTTCATAAAAGTCACCAATTTCTATTTCTACAAAAAGAATTCATTAAAATCAGCTAATAAAACCAGCATCATGATCATAAAATACTTTTCAATGAACATTTCATGAAAACACAGTATAATCCAGGTACAGTACCACTTAGTAGCATGTGACTATTCTTTAGGAAACAATTCTTAACTCATGATAGTAAAATCATTATACAAAGTCTTGGCAGATTTAGAAAATGTTGACAAACATTTATCCTTAAATACGGAGCTGGTGCCAAAGGATTGGAGGATTACAAATGTTACACACAATTAGTCAAATTAAGGGAGACAAACAAACTTAGCAATCATGGGCCTGTTTAAGAATTGGAGGAAGGGAAGCTTTAAGAATATCCAGGAGTACATTAATTCCACCTAAACAAGCATGGAATAATGGAGGAGATCCATCATAATTTTATTAAGGACATGTTTTAATAACTAAATTAATGTCTTTGACAATGTAATAAAGAGGATGAATAAGGCAAATGAAGTTGATGTTGTATAAATGGGCTTTCAAAAAGCTTTTGTTAATGTATCACAGTTTGGCATTATCATTATTACAAAAAGCCTGTCTTCACTTCTAATCCCTAAACCGACTTTCAAAGTATGGGTTTCCCTAGAGATCCCTCTCTTTAGCCAAAGTTAAGCAAATCTTACAGCTTTGTTTAAACCGTCACAAGGACAAAGGGGGGAAGTTATACGAGGAGTCAGAGAAAATGAGTGAGATTCTTAATGAGTACTTTGCGTCAGTATTCACTGAGGAGAGGGACATGACAGATGTTGAGGTTAGGGATAGATGTTTGATTACTCTAGGTCAAGTCAGCATAAGGAAGAGGGAAGTGTTGGGTATTCTAAAAGGCATTAGGATGGACAAGTCCCCAGGTCCGGATGGGATGTATCCCAGGTTACCGAGGGATGCAACAGGGGAAATAGCTGGGGCCTTAACAGATATCTTTGCAGCATCCTTGAGCATGGGTGAGGTCCCGGAGGACTGGAGAATTGCTAATGTTGTCCCCTTGTTTAAGAAGGGTAGCAAGGATAATCCAGGAAATTATAGACCGGTGAGCCTGACGTCAGTGGTGGGTAAGCTGCTGGAGAAGATATGGAGGGATAAGATCTATTTACATTTGGAAGAAAATGGGCTTATTAGTGATAGGCAGCATGGGTTTGTGCAGGGAAGGTCATGTCTTACCAACTTGATAGAATTCTTTGAGGAAGTGACAAAGTTGATAGATGAGGGAAGGGCTGTAGGTGGACTTCAGTAAGGCGTTTGATAAGGTTCCCCATGATAGGCTCATGGAGAAAGTGAAGTCACATGGGGTCCAGGGTGTACTAGTTCGATGGATAGAGAACTGGCTGGCAACAGGAGACAGAGAGTTGTAGTGGAAGGGAGTTTCTCAAAATGGAGAACTGTGGTGTTCCACAGGGATCCGTGTTGGGGCCACTGTTGTTTGTGATATACATAAATGATCTGGAGGAAGGTATAGATGGTCTGATTAGCAAGTTTGCAGATGACACTAAGATTGGTGGAGTAGCAGATAGTGAAGGGGACTGTCGGGGAATGCAGCAGAACATAGATAGATTGGACAGCTGGGCGGAGAAATGGCAGATGGAGTTCAATCCAGGCAAATGTGAGGTGATGCATTTTGGAAGATCCAATTCAAGAGCGAACTATACGGTAAATGGAAAAGCCCTGGGGAAAATTGATGCACAGAGTGATCTGGGTGTTCAGGTCCATTGTACCCTGAAGGTGGCAACGCAGGTGGGTAGAGTGGTCAAGAAGGCATACAGTTTGCTTTCATTCATCGGACGGGGTATTGAGTACAAGAGTTGGCAGGTCATGTTACAGTTGTATAGGACTTTGGTTCGACCACTTTTGGAATACTGCGTACAGTTCTGGTTGTCACATTACCAAAAGGATGTGGATGCTTTGGAGAGGGTGCAGAAGAGGTTCACCAGGATGTTGCCTGGTATGGAGGGCACTAGCTATGAAGAGAGGTTGAGTAGATTAGGATTATTTACATTAGAAAGACGGAGGTTGAGGGGGGATCTGATTGAGGTCTACAAAATCATGAGGTATAGACAGGGTGGATAGCGAGAAGCTTTTTCCCCCAGAGTCGGGGACTCAGTTACTAGGGGTCACGATTTCAAGGTGAGAGGGGAAAAGTTTAAGGGAGATATGCGTGGAAAGTTCTTTACGCAGAGGGTGGTGGGTGCCTGGAACGTGTTGCCAGCGGAGGTGGTAGAGGCAGGCACGATAGCATCATTTAAGATGTATCTAGACAGATACATGAATGTGCAGGGAGCAGAGGGATACAGATCCTTGGAAAATAGGCAACAGGTTTAGATAGAGGATCTGGATCGGCGCAGGCTTGGAGGGCCGAAGGGCCTGTTCCTGTGCTGTAATTTTCTTTGTTCTTTGTCACGACCTTGGTCTTCTCAATTTGAGCAGGAGCTCCTTCCGTATTTTGGGTGGTGAACAATAACAACTGGCTACCTCTCTTTTCTCCTTCTTGGATCTTTGTGGACTGACCGTCTTCAAGAAGTTCAGTGATACTTAGGAGAATCTGCCAACGCATCATACAATGGTTTCCAAAGGACTCTTCCCCTCTCAAAGTCCACTTAAGTAGAAATGCTAAATAACTACCTTCTAGACCTCAACTCTAGTTGATGTTGGAATTGAAATAGTTTAAAGTATAATCATTTATAACACCTGACATTCTAAACAATCCCCCCTCTCCCTGTATCTTGGTGACCAAAAGTCTATCTGCCATCAGCGAAACAGTTGAAGAGCTAAAGGTGAGGAACTCTTAGGAGGCAATGATCGCAAAATGATAGAATTTACTCTGCAATTCGATAGCGAGAAGATGGAATCAGATGTAATGGTATTACAGTTGAATAAAGGCAAGTACAGAGGCATGAGGGGGGAGCTGGGCAGAATTGACTGGGAGAGGAGCCTAGCAGGAAAAACAGTGGAACAGCAATGGTAGGAGTTTCTGGGAGTAATTCAGGAGACACAGCAAAAATTCATTTCTAGGAAAAAGAAGCATATTAAAGGGAGGATGAGGCAACCATGGCTGACTAGGGAAGTCAGGGATAGCATAAAAGCAAAAGAGAAAGCATTTAATGCGGCAAAGTCCAGTGGGAAGCCAGAGAATTGGGAAGCCTACAAAGACCAACAGAGGACAACGAACAAAGAAATAAGGAGAGAGATTAAATAGGAGGGTAAGCTAGCCAATAATATAAAGGATTGCAAGAGTTTCTTTAGATATATAAAGGGCAAAATAGAGGCAAAAGTGGACATTGGTTTGCTGGAAAATGACACTGGAGAAGTAGTTTGAGGAACAAAGAAATGGCGGAGGAACTGAACAAGTGCTTTGTCAGTCTTCATGGTGGAAAACACGAGTAATATCCCAAAAATTCAACAAGAGTTGGGAGGCAGAGGTGAGTATAGTGGCCATCACCAAGCAGAAGGTGCTAGACAAAAATGAAAAGTCTCAAGGTGGATGAATCACATGAACCAGACAGACTACACCCCACAGTTCTGAAGGAGATAGCTGAAGAGATAGTGGAGGCATTAGTGGTGATCTTCCAGGAATCAGTAGAGTCAGCGAGGGTCCCAGAGGACTGAAAAAATTGCCAATGTTTAAAAAGGGAGTGGGCAAAAGACAGAACCTTGGTCATTGGTAAAATTATTGAGTCCATTGCAAAGGATGAGATTTCTGAATACTTGGAAGTGCATAATACAATAAGGCAAAGTCAGCATGGTTTCATCAAGGGGAGGTCATGCCTGACAAATCTGTTAGAATTCTTAGAAGAGGCAACAAGCAGGTTAGACCAAGGAGAACCAACAGATGTTGCTATCTATTTGGACTTCCGGAAGGCCTCTGACAAGATGTCGCACAGGAGGCTGCTGAGTAAGATAAGGGCCCATGGTGTTAGAGGCAAGGTGCTAGCATGGATAGAAGATTGGTTGCCTAGCAGAAAGCAGAGAGTGGGGACAAAAGGGACCTTCTCGGGATGGCAACCGGTGACCAATGGTGTTCCGCAAGGGCCCGTGTTGGGACCACAACTTTTCACTTTATACATTAATGATCAAGATGGAGGAACTGAGGGCATTCCAGCTATGTTTGCAGATAATACAAAGATAGGTGTAGGGACAGGTAATATTGATGAGGAAGGGAAGCTGCAGAAGGATTTAGACAGGTTAGGAGAGTGAGCAAAGAAATGGCAGATGGAATACAACATGGGAAATTGTGCAGTCATGCACTTTGGTTGGAAGAATAGAGGCATAGACTATTTTCTAAATGGGGAGAAAATTCAGAAATCCAATGTGCAAAGAGACTTGGGAGTCCTAGCCCAGGATACTCTTCAGGTACACTTGCAGGTTGAGTCGGTAATTATGAAGACAAATACAATGTTGGCATGTATTTCAAGCAGAGTAGAAATATACAAGCAGGAATGTTCTTCTGAGGCTTTATGAGGCTCTGGTCAGATCATATTTAGAGTAGTGAGAGCAATTTTGGACACCACACCTCAGGAAGCATGTACTAGCCCTGGAGCGAGTCTAGAGAAGGTTCACTAGAATGATCCCAGGAATGAAAGGCTTAAAATAAGAGGAATGTTTGAGGACTCTGGGTCTATACTCGATGGAATTTAGAAGGAGGAGAGGAGATCTAATTGAAATTTACAGAATACTGAACAGCCTGGACAGAACGGTCGTTGGGAAGAGGTTTCCATTAACAGGAGAGACAAGGACCCAACGGTACAGCTTTGGAGTAAACGGTAGACCCTTTAGAACAGAGTTGAGGGGAAACTTCAGCCAGACAGTGTGAATCTATGGAATTCATTGCCACAGAAGGCTGTGGAGGCCAGGTATTTGAGTATATTAAAGAAAGAGATAAATATGTTCTTGATTGTCAAGGGGGTCAAAGGTTATGGGGAGAAAGCAGAAGAATGGGGTTGAGAAACTTGTCAGCCATGATTGAATGATGGAGCACACCCGATTGGTTAAATGGCCTAATTTCTGCTCTTAAATCTTATGAAGCTCACAACATTGTATCGTCTTCCTGGTAAAATCACGTGTCCTCTTCCATTCCTCCAATTTACCCTAACTTAAAGGCAACCCCAAAATATTACAATCTTAAAACTGAACTTGTAACAATTCTTTATCTTTGTTCTTTTAGTCTTTCTCCAAGTCATCCCTTGCTGAAGGCTGAATTACATAAATTTTAGCCTTAGACATTGTCCACCCTTATCAGCCAGTGTGATGTTTTAAGATGCTTCTCAAGTTCTACAAACTGCTACTCAACTACTAACTGTTTGATTAGTATAAAGGTATTTATGCTATGCAGTATTCAGGTATGCATACATTGCACACATGCCATGTCACTGTTTAAACCATTTTTAAAAATGTACTTCTTTATCTTTCTAAAATAGGTTTGTCTCTTAAGTCTAGCTTTTCATCCACTGTCTTCTAGGAAGTTTAATGCAAGCAGTTTTACTTGAGTCAGAAAAATAATTCAGAAACAGATTTCTTGGGCCTTGATGGCAAAAAAAAACCTTTCACTTACATTTAGTGCCCTCTAAACAAACTAATTTCTGTATGCAAATTGAGAAGTAGTGGTGTTAGGGAATATTTCCAACATTTATCCACACTTTTTCTCCATGTTGGCAAACTAGCCCAAACCAAGAACATTCCCGTTATATGCAGTCAGTAAGAATGCACAGTTACATCCAGGACCCATGAATCAAGACAGTTTTCTTTCTTAAGGTAAGCCTGTGAACCAATTATTTGCTTGAAACAAAAAGCAACTTTCACATTTATGAACAAACTCTGTCCTCTCTCACACATACCCTCACATCAACTGAGCATCCAACTGTCCACGATGGATTTCCCAACACCTGGTTGTGGCACAACAAATGGACAAGAGATGATTTCCCAACTCCTGGAAAATTAACAAAGTTAAAACTGAAAATGGAAGTTGGGGTGGAACGTGCATTACCTAGCACTGCTGTTAACATAATACTGACAGGTGTAGACAGAATTATTCAACTTCCATCCCATTTCCATGGTGTTCAAGAATTCTTAGGTAACAGATTATGTAGTTGTAAACAAATTAGATACAGCTTCTCTTACATTACAGCAGTGATTACAGTTCAAAACACCACTGGTTGTAAATGTTTTGAGATGTCAGGAGATACATAAACGCAATTCTTTTCTCTTCGGTTCTAGATTAAATTAACCAAGTAAAAATCAGCTTCCATTGCATATCCCACATTTAACCAATTTGGAACATTCTATCAACAACTCTTAACTGACTGTGCAGTACAAGTATGTAACCATAGCAAATCACAGAGAAGATTTGAGTGAATGAATGGCCTACTCCTGCTCCTAATTTGCATATTTGTAAGACTTGAACATTTCTGTAGGAGACAGAATTGCATAAAATAGGTCAGTTTATAGAGCTCGCATCATTAGAGATGAACCTAACGTTGAAGATCACAAACACAAAAAGAATATTGTCAATTTTTATAGCTCATGAAGATCAGAAATTCATTTAAAAATGAAATTGTATCTATTGAAGAGTTAATTCTACTTCCAAAACAAATTGAGACAGCATGGTTCCTAACATATATCTGAAATACTTGTAAATGAGATATCATTCTCAATATTAACATTCCCACAATAATACCAAAGGTTTAACAAATAGTTTCTATATATTAATGACAGAGTAATTCTTAATTATTGGAAACACCACATATTTATTAAGAGTGCTACAGACATTAGAAATAAAAACAGAAAATACTGGAGAATCTAAGCAGGTCTAGCAGCATCTGTGAAGTGAGAAACAGAGTTAACAATGTGATGCTTCAGAATTGAAGGGAACTGGAAAAGTGTTGGGTGGTATGTTGCAGATAAAGGAGGAAGGAGGAGCAAGTGGAACAGATGGTAAAGATGGCCCACAGCATAAAGCAAAAGGAGTGCTAATGGTAAAATTTATAGTTGAGTATGCATTAATGGTCAGTGTTAACAGGAACAAGGTAAGATCTACTTAGAGCAAATCCATGCAAACCAGACTTGAGGGTGGCTAAATCAAAATGGAAGGCAAAGTTCAAGGTCTGAAATTGCTGAATTCAATATAGAGTCCTGAAGACTCTAAAGTTCCCAAGTGGAAAACAAAGTGCTGTTCCTTTAATTTGCATTAGGCCTCACTGGAAGACTGCAGCAAACCTAGGACAGAGATGTTAGCATGAGAGGACAGTGCTGCATTGCTAAACAAGCAACCAGAATGGTAGGGCCATTCTTATTGAAAGGTGGTGGTGTTCTACAAAGTAGTTACCTTGTCAACGTTTGATCTCACCAATGTAAAGGGGACAGCAATGTGAAAAGTCATTACAATAAACAGGATTGTAGCAAGTACAAATAAATCACAGCTCCACTGCGAAGGTGTGTTTGGGGACTTTGATAGTAAGGAGGGAAGAGGTAAAGGGGTTAGTGTTACATCTTCTGTAATTGCATGGGACGATGCCATTACAAGGAGGGAGGGCATTGAGAAATGTTCAGAATGAACACTGGCAAAATGCTGACGAGAGGGAAAGCAAAAGTGTTTTTGGTTGTGACATCTTGCCAGAGGTGGCAGATATAAGAGGATGATGCTTTTCATGCAGAAGTGATGGGTGGTAGGAATAGGAAAGTTAGGACTAGGGAAATCTGTCATTGTTCTGACAGAGAGGGGCAAGGAGTGGAAGTAAAACTGCGGGAGACAGATTGGACACAAGTCAGTGCCTATCAACAAGGGGTGAGGAATCCGTGATTGAGGAATAAGGAAAACATTTCGAGTCTCACTGAACTCGAGATGTTAACTCTGTTTCTCTCTCCACACGTGCGCCAGACCCGAGTTTCTTCAGCACTTCTTGCTTTCATTAAATATATTTATTGTTTTCTTCGAGGATGCATCGTGGGCAATTTGCAACCACGTTGAGGCTAGCTCCAAGTCACTGTTAGATGGTGAACTGAGTCTAAACCTTTACCTGAATCCCCCAACACCAGCACCTTCACCCGCTCCAAGGACGCCATCACACTAATACGTTCAACCTAACCCAACCCAGCCCTCGGGTTGCCGCCAGAGATTTTAAACAAATGCTCGCTTGGATATTTCTCGAGCAGGAGGGAATCGGTCAGCCTTCGCCAGGCGGTACCTAAACCTGACGACGAAGCTCTGCCCAGGTCAATCGCCGGTTGACCTCAGCCCACAACGACAGCCGCGCGCTAACGTCATCACACACAGAGCCCTGCGCCGCGACGTAACATCCGGGACCGCCGTACGTGATGACGCATCACTCTTCCTGCTGCGCGGCGTCAACCGGGTAACGTGGTAATGTTGCTGCTCGAGAGTCTCTACTTGTAACCGGTGGTGGTGAGTATTTATTTAAATATTAAAACTATTTTATTAGTTTCTGTCATTAACGCATTGTAATGTGACCATCAAAATTGCTCCGCTTCGCTAACACCATTGGGCGGCCAATGTGTTGTTCTTTAATAGACCTACATTATTGATCATTAAGATTTGTTGAATGATGCTGGTTTTATTTATTCCATAAGTTTACTTATTCATGTGAGGGCACCGTATTTGATTTGTTTCTATACCGTGAGGTACTATCAAGGCATCGATATTTACACAAGTTTCAAGCGCGGTGTAATTTGTCGGACTTGGATGAGATGGCTGTGATATAATTACTGGGGAGTAAACTATTTTTAAAGATTAGAACACTCGGGGGGCTGGAAGATCTCCTAAACAACCAGAGCAAATACCCAGTGGATTATACAGCTTTTGAATGAACTTTGAGTACAACTCACCTGGAACTTGAAGTAAATTTTAATGCTCTACTTACTGTAAAGTAGACAACTGTGATAGCAATAGGGTCGGAAAAATGTGGAGCTGGAAAAGCACAGCAGGTCAGACAGTATCCGAGGAGCAGGAAAGTCAACGTTTCAGATCGAAACCCTTCTTCAGGACCTATGTTCGTGATCTCCATGTACGTGCAGAGATCTGTTCTGAAAGTGTCTGATTAAAATGATAGGAAAGAAGTCGTGTGTGCCTTTATATTAATAGTTAAGGTTTTCAAAGTGTAGCTATATGTTGTACTGAAGTAGTGTTAATTCTGATGTTAGATGATCTAGGCCAACTTTTCAGAAATACTTTGCATCAGTCTTCATAGTACTAATAGCATTCCAAAATTACTAAGTGTTCAAGGGGCAAAAGGAGGAGAGACAATAAATGCAATAACTATCACTTGAGGAAAAAGTGCTAGGAAAACCAATGGGCTTCACTAAGGTGTTCGACAAAGTTCCTCATGGTAGACTGATTAGCAAGGTTAGATCACACAGAATAGAGGGAGAACTAGTTATTTGGATACAGAACTGGCTCAAAGGTAAAAGGCAGAGGTTGGTGGTGGAGGGTTGCTTTTCTGACTGGAGGCCTGTGACTCGTGGTGTGCCACAAGGTTCAGTTCTGGGTCAACTCACTGCTTTTTGTCATTTATATAAATGATTTGGATGTGAACGTAGGAGGTATGGCTAGTAAGTTTACACATAACACCAAAATTGGAGGTGTAGTGGATAATGATGAACGTTACTGCAGAATACAACAGGACCTTGATCAGATGGGCCAATGGGCTGAGGAGATAAATGTGAGGTGCTATGTTTTGGAAAGGCAAATTAGGGCAAGACTTATGTGCTTAATGATAAGTTTCTGGGGAGTGTTGCTGAACAAAGAGACCTTTGGAGTGCAGGTTCATAGTTCCTTGAAAGTAGAGTCACAGGTAGATAGGATAAAGAAGTATGCTTGCCTTTATTAGTCAGTGCATTGAGTATAGGAGTTGGGAGATCATGTTGTGACTGTACAGGATATTGATTAGGCCATTTTTGGAATACTGTGTTCAGTTCTGGTCTTGCTGTTGTAGGAAGGATGTTCTGAAACTTGAAAGGGTTCAGAAAAGATTTACAAGGACGTTGCCAGTGTTGGAGGGTTTGAGCTATAGGTAAAGGCTGAATAGAGTGGGGCTATTTTCCCTGGAGCATAAAGGTTTATAAAATCATGAGGGGCATGGATAGGGTAAATAGACAAGGTCTTTTCCCTGGGGTGGGAGAGTCCAAAACTAGAGGGGATAGATTTAAAATGAGAGGGGAATGATTTAAAAAGGACCTAAGAGGCAACTTTTTTCACGCAGAGGGTGGTGTGTGTATGGAATGAGTTGCCAGAGGAGGTGGTGGAGGCTCGTACAATTACAAAATTTAAAAGGCACCTGGATGGGCATATGAATACGAAGGGTTTAGAGGGATGTGGGCCAAATGCTGGCAAATGGGACTAGATTTATTTAGAATATCTGGTTGGCAGGGATGAGCTGGACTGAAGGGTCTATTTCTGTGCAGTATATCTTTGTGATTCTGACTCGAAAGACTGCTAAGCCCTTAATCTGATTGGACAAATCCTCAGATATTAAAGGAAGTAACTACAGAGATAATGGCTACATTGGTAGGAAACTTCCAGGAATCCTTAGGCACTGGAAAAGTTCCAGAGGATTAGAAAACTGCCAATGTAGCACTTTTATTCAGGAAGGGACAGAGACAAAACTGTACGCCATTTAGCTTGATGCCCATTATTGGGAAAATGTTAGAATCTACTATAAAGGATGTGGTAACAGACCATTAGAAATGTATAAGATGATCAAGCAGAGTCAGCATGGCTTTGTGAAGGTATAACAAACAACCTCTGTGGAGAGAAAAGTAGTTATTGTTTCAGGTCCGCACAGGTGGAGGATTCTGATAAAAGGCCAGAAACTTGCAATGGTAACTCAGTTTCTCTTCCACAGTTGCTGTTTGACCTTCTGAGAATTTCTGTTCTTTTGTCTTTTAACAGAACCTTATAAAACGCTAATAGTTTCTTAAAGCATTTATATTAAATTTATGCTTCCTGGTCTAATGACTTGTAGACCAGTTCTGATCCATCATATCCTAACAATTCATTCTCTCTCCCACTTCCACTGAAGTCTCAAATATAAACCCCACAATCTCTATTAATGTTCTAGTGAATTTATGTTGCATTTTTTGACCTGCTTTGATACTTTTCCTAAAGTAGGATGCCCAAAATTGCAACTATTGTAATTTTTACTTAAAATGTGGAACTTTTTTTTTATTTAATTGAGAAAGAAATATTGAAGTTGTCCAATCATTTCAAGAGTAGGAGAAGACCATCTAGTTATTTAAATTCAAAACAATTTAAAGAGACATTTAAGAGCATGAGTTCCGAAAAGTTTAGAAAAGCTGTAAAACCCTTGTATAAAATGTAAGGGCACAGTTAAAGTAGAAAAACAGCCCTATTGTAATTGAGCATTAAAGGTTACCTCTGTGAAGGGAGACTGTTTTTGTGTATTCTTAATGTATGTTTAGATGAAAAGGAAGACAGTTTACAAAATATTCCTATTTCACATGTGGGTCCTAACATTTTTAAACATTACTTGATCTATGCAAATTTAATGCAACCACTTGAGTTTCTGAAAATGAATCAAATAATTATGTAATGTTAGCAGAAAAACAAATTTACATGAAGTGTTGGTTTGCTAAGCACTTAAATTCCATAGGGTGTGCAAGACTAGATGCTTTTGGTCTTTTAAGCCCCACAAAAGTAAAATTTAGCTAGTTCCAGTGCAATACATGCAATTGTTTTAGTTTACTTGACAAAAAGAGATGGTACCTTCTTGGAAATTTATTAGCGTGGCAAACCTCACCTTTTATCATCTTGTGCTGTCGCTTAACTAAAACTAAATGCTAACATCTTTCTTGCAGTACAACATAATAAGGGGTTCTAAAGTCATAAAACCAAATTATGGTGGTCTTGCATGTATTGAAATTTGCAATTCTTCAGTGATGTATTTTGTGCCTCTGCTTTTGTCCAGTTGTTTCGTATTTCTAAAACTTTTTCTTTTCAGTATTTTCAAAAAAAACAGTATTATCCTAATTTCCACAGGTGAATTATCATTGTGCTGGTCTGCTGTATCCATCTTGATGCAACCTTGTGTCTGAAAATACACCAGCCTCTGAAGTGGCACGACCCTAAAACTGGGGTGGGTTGAACGAAGATTTCTTCCTTTTGTTATTTGTCACATTCGTTTTATTAAAAAAAAAACCATTTGCTATAGACTTTGGGGTGAAAGAAGATTTCCTATGTCCTCATATTGAATAATGACAAGAACCTTTATCTGTTGCTGAAACCTTGCATGAACTTTCTCTGGGATTACTGTCTAAACTGATCAAATCTGCATTATCCAGTCACATTGTACACATATCAACTCTTCAGTATTTTGCTGTTTATCTTGTGGATTTTGTTGGACCGTGTTTGGCTTTGCACCATGTACAATTTTTATATATGTCCATTTACATAAATACATTGATATGATGCAGTGATAGTTTGTTGATTATAATTATGAGGAGGTGATGGCCTCGTGGTGTTATTGCTTGACTATTAATCCAGAGACCCCAGGTAATTTTCTGGGCATCTGGGTTTGACAGATGGTGGCATTCGAATTCAACAAAAATCTGGATTCGAGAGACTTTTAGGGAAGGAAACCGCCATCCTTACCTGGTCTGGTCTGGTCTGGTCTTCATGTGACTCCAGACCCACATCATTGTGGTTGACTCTGAACTGCCCTCTGGGCAATTAAGGATGAGCAATAAATGCTGGCCTGGCTGGTGACACCCACATCCTTTGAATGAATACAAAACAATACTCTTATAGAAATGTGGAAAAACTCTTTTGCTGTATATATCCTACTTTTGTGACTAAATATTGATGAACTTTGTTTTTAAAGTTTAGAATCTGTGGCATGCCTTGAGTGGATCTGCATAAAATCAGCCCTATTATTCAATGTAATTTCCTATATTACTATCTGTATTGGCATTTGCTGCATTGCTTTCCTGGAGATTATTTTTTTGATGACTGAGAAGTAAAGCATTTTTATCTTCTATAATTGCTTTTTGATTTGAGAGCTGAAGCTGTGCCTGCAGGAATGTTCAATGCTTATAGCCTTCAAGGCACTATTTTGTTTTCCCTTATAATCTTGGCATCCTGATTTGTTTAGTTTGTTTTTAAATAATAAAATTAAACTGTTAGGTGTATTTTCTGCTCCCGATGGTGATGAGCTTGGAAATGGGAGTTACACTTAATTAGGCATATCCCAAACCTGTGACCTTCCCGCCTTCTCCAAATTCTGCTCTGGACAGAAAGGTTCATGATCTAGCTCCTGCCTCGCTATCAGTTGAGGCCTTTAAGTGATCAGTTAAGAACCACTGAAAGGCCTTAGCCCACTACTGCTGGGATTAACCCAAGTGCAGTTGTTCCCTTTGCCATCCTCCTTTTGGATAACTGTGGGCAGTTTATCACCTCTGGGAGGAGTGGTTTGATCAAAGGTGATCTGTGTCCGATCAAGGGAGTGGAGGTCTGGCAAGGTACTGCTTGCTGAGAGTCACACCACAGCTCGCTCTTCTGATCATTGCCTGGTGAGCCCATGATTCAGTTGTCCTTCCCTGAAAGTGATTGTGCAGGCTTCTTGCTGGCTTTCCAGCACTAGGTGAGACTCCTAACACCCAGCAAGGCTCTGTTCAACACTTCTAACTTTACTTTTGCATTTTTCAAAAAATCCCCATTTCTTGGATGATGCATTTAGTGGTTGGGCCAGCACATATTGACACCTCTGTTGCCCCTGAGAAGGTAGTGGTGAGCTGCCTCTTGAACTACTACATATCATTTGGTACCGGTAGACCCACAATGCTGTCAGATAGGGAGTTCCAGGATTTTGACTGAGCAACACTGAAGGAACAGCGATTACATTTCCAAGTTAGCGTACTGAGTAGCTTGGAAAAGAACTTGCAGTAGTGGAGGTAATCAAAGTTTATGGATGTGGTGCCAACCAAGTAGGTTGTTTTGTCTTGAATGGTGTTGAACTGCTTGTGAATTTTTGGAAATGCGCTAATGAAAGCAAATGGAGGTTATTTTCTCACATTCCTAACTTGAACCTTGTATATGGTGGACAGATTTTGGGCCATCAGGAAGCAAGTTAGGCGCCTCACAATCTCAGTCGAACAGCATCACTACGGAACTGAGATGATTGGCCTCCAATATCCATAGACTGAATGCTCCAACCAGTGCAGAGTTTTCCCCAATTCCCGTTGACTTCTGTTTTCCTAAGGCTCATGATGACACCTTTGATCAAAAGTTGATTTGATATCAAAGGTAATCGCTGTTGCCTAATCCAAGTCAGTAATAAGTTCTGAAGTCAGGTGGTCCGGCAGAACTCCAGATAAACATTGGTCAGCAGCTTATTGTTGTGTAAGTGTTGCTTGACAGCACTATCAATTTTAATATGTATTTCTTTATTGATGAGTGATATTTGGCTGGATTGGATTTGCCCTGCTTTTTGTGGTTTGAGTGTGCACATGCAATTTACTACATAGGTAGATGAATGCCAGTGCTACAACTGTACTGCTACAACTTGGCTAATAGTGAAAAATGTTCTGGAGCTCAAGACTTCAGCTGTTGGTAGTGCAGATTACCTCTTTTTATTCATTCTTGGGATGTGGGTTTTGCTGGCATTTATTGCTCATTCCTACTTTCCCGGAGGGCAGTTAAGAATCTTGTAGGCTGGAGCAGGTAAGGATAGCAGTTTCCTTCCCTAAAGGAAATTATTAAAATAGATGGGTTTTTCCACCAATTCCAGATCTTTTTATTTGTCAAATTCATATTCCATGATCTGCCAATGCAGATTCAAACCCGAGTCTCTCAGTTGAACCTGAGTATGTGGATTAACGGTCTAACTGTAATACTATTAGGCCATTGTGTGGTGTCAACCAACATCTTGGAGGATGTCCTCAGTGTGAAGCTGGAATTTTCTCCTTCAAGGACTGGTAATCATATTCCTTTGTGTTTCTTAACACTGAATTATCAGTGTCATGCTGGATTGTTGAGTAATGTAAGTTTAATGTACTTCGAAATCTTGAATAGTTTTGCTAAACTGACAAACTTATTTTGTGCAGTTGCAGAGAATGTTATGTACACAATCCAAGCAATAACATGGTAGATACCGCATAGATGTTGGTCATGTTTTATCATCCTGACGCTTGTCTCAGTAGTATAGTCAGCTGTTAATTTTTAAAAATTCATTCATGGGACATGGATGTCGCAATATTTATTACCATCCCTAAATGCCCAGATTTCAGTTGAGACTCAACAACATTGCTGTGGTCCTGGAGTCGCACAGGCCAGACAGGGCAAGGATGGCAGATATCCTTTCCTAAAGGACATTTGTCAACCAGATTGGTTTTTCCCTACCGTTGGCAACGGTTGCATAGTCACCATTAGATTCTTAATCCAGTATTTCCAGGATAAAATTATATGCACTAAAAATGGGAGTACGTATATGTTATTTGTAATATATAAAAAAAAAATTGAACAGTTTACGAGTTTCAATATTAAGATTCTCTATAATGTTTACAGGCAGTCCCTGGGTTGGGAACGGGTTCCGTTCTTGATTCTGTTTGCAAGTTGATTTTTAAGTCAGAACGCAATAGAGTACAATATAAAGGAGCCGTTCATAAGGACAGATAATATTCGTATGTCAATCTTTAAAATTACATCCCTATACGAGATTGTGTTTATAAGCATGAGGGTTCATAAATTGGGGACCTCCTGTAATGACTTGACAATCCTTCAGGATGATATAAGCTCTGGGCGTATCAAATACACTGATATTGCACTCGTGTCTGCTGTGGATACACTTGAAGTGATCTCTTATTGTCCTACAATTGGAAATTTTAAAAGGTCAGTGGTGAAAATCATTGCACATCCTCATTGTGTTCTCAAAGTCATTGTTGATCCCTGGCCAATACACTGTATACTGTGGAATACAGTCTGAATTGCCCTGTGCCAGAATGTTCCTGATGGGGCTCTGACGATATTTCCTAGCAAAGAGCTTGATGCATTTAATTTTAACTTTTGAAATCCTAGTTCTGGATAACTAAAATTATGTGTGTGACTGGTGTTTCTTATATCATGTCACACCATCCTTCTATGATAATTTCCCGTAGTGCCTTCAGTCATGGATCATTATCTGTTTCTTCTAAAAGTTTGTTGACTTTAAGTACACCTTCCAATTTGGTATTAACAATGTCTATTTGTAAATCTTGTGAAATTTCTGCATTCTCATTTGGAGTTAATAATCTGCTCACTGTATCAAAAATAAGGATCTTTGTACCAAGTTTGTAGCAAGTGATGAAGTCATGGCAACTAGATGTAGTTGCAGTCTAGTGGTGTACTTGTCAGTGGTTTGCGTCAAATCATTTTCAGTGTGAGTTGCTTACCACACTGGTACGGAAACTTGTAATACTGATTGCTAAAGCTTTATAATGGAATAGTTTGGTTTTACTTGCAATAGACTTTTGGATCTGAATGCAGTAGACTTGCCATCTTGACAATGCATGCTCCAACTTCTTTGAGATATATAACTTCCAGGATTGTCATCTTTCAGGGGTTGCAGTACTGTAAGATGCAAATTTCTGCTGACAATGTTTGTTTGATTTGAACATGTGTTGATTGTCCTGATGCCATACATATGGTGTGTTTTCCTTAGGAGCCTTCTTAACCACAAAACTTTTTAGGGAAAGTTTGGTGTGCATGGCCTAGGAAGTTAAAAAGAATTCGAGGCATTTTTGGAGGTTTTTTTGATTAGGTATGTGATGTACGTCTTCAACTTTGCCTGGTTAAGGACAGATACCATCCCCTCAGTAGATCTGACCTATGTTCGCCTGACACTCGGTTTGTTGAAGTCAACTTCTTCACGGTGAGTGGCTATCATTACTTGTAAAGATTTTGGTTTGCCTTTCTTTGGTTTTACCCATCACCGCAATATCATCACCAATACATACATCTGTAGGAATCTTTTTGTCATTCCGTCCATATGCTTCTGGAAGAAATGCTGACTGACAGTCTAAAGGTTCATCTGTGGATGTAATATCTCTCGAATAGTGTTTTTAAAAACAATGATTGCTTGAGGTTTCTTTGCAAAATGGACAACCAATGTCTATGCATGGCATCCAGCATAGAAAATAACTTGGCTTTTGTGAATTTGGGATTCATTTTTTCAAAGTTGGAATTTTGTCTGGGCATCACTCTCTCTAAAGATGAAGATGTCTTCTGTTGAAACGTACCTGGATTGTGCCATCTTTCTTTAGTGCTCCTGTAATTTAATTGCACCAGCCTGTAGTGATGTACACAATGGATATTATCTTAATGTTCCATTTTGTCCAACTTACTCTTCAGCGTTTTTATGTCAGCCCTGGACTTTCTAGGAGGATTAGTGAAATTGCACCTTCCCTGAGGTGCAAAACAGCATAACCTTTGAAGTTTCTTATGGTATCAAATCAATCTGAGTATGTTGTTGTAGAGCCTGGTTAAACTCATGTGATTTGTATCTAATTGATGATTTTGTGAATGTTCACAGTGTTGAGTTCCAAACACAATGATGGCTGTACTATTGGTGATCCATTTGTGTCTATTGGATAGAATACTTGTGATTTCCATGTGCCATAACTGCACTTTGTCATCAATGTACCACTGTATTATATGCAGTAACCCATTCTATGTAGTCAATTTTGCTGTTGTAGATTGTATAAATGACTTCCAACAATCCTTCTACATATCCTTAAATTCTGATTGACTGGTTGGATGTTTTCATTAGCTGTCAACTTTGGTCGAGAGCTTGTGTTTACCAGTTTTCTTCAACCATATAGTGGCAAAATCTTCAAACTGTTTGACTTTGTCCATTGTTTTTTGTGCATGGTTGTGCGTGTGGCAGGCTGGGCCAGCATGTCCTGCCTATCCCTGTCTGCCCTGAAGAAGGTGGCGGTGGGCTATCTACTTGATCTGCAGTCCTTGGGGTATAGGGACAATCACAGATGTTAGGATCAGAGTTCCAGGACTTTGACCCAGCAACAGTGAAAGGAATGGCGATGTAGTTCCAAGATAGGCTGTGTGTGACTTGAAGGGGAACTTGCATAGTGAACTGCTTCTGGGAGGGAATTGTTATATTCAGTATGTGGAAAGCATGTTCACTTTTTACTGTGAATCTTCACCCTGGTCGGTCTTGCTGCTAACCTTGTATATGTGCTTCCCTTTATGCAAGTCTCTGGTGCATACTCTGTTGTTGCTGCCAGTATGCTGCACATGCTTTTTATTTGCCTGTGCCCTATTGTAACCTCTGGTATTACCTTTGGAACCAAGTTTTTTTGGTTAGATGAGCCCAATGTCATTTTGAGCCATCTGACTTGAAAAGATCTTGGAACACAGAACAGTTTTTCAGTGGGTATAACACAGCACACTTCCCACGTGACCTGCTTTTTGCATCGTGGCTGCTATGCCAGTACTGGTAATTGCACCCAATGCTTGTAGATGTTGTGGTCTGGATACACTGGCTTCATAATTTTGGCCATCTTTTAGCAGTCTGACAATGTTGTGACCTTTTTCTCCAAGTAATCCTTCACTTAATCATCAAAGTTATAACCAGCTTCATTAGCTGCTCGGATAGCTCAGCCTTTAGGATATGATAGTCCTTGCTCCTGTCACAGCACTACTAACAGACTGATCAGTCGACTCCTATAACTGTTGACTGTAGGATGTCAGTTTTAGAAGGTGAATTCTAATGATCACTTGTACATGAAGCTGATCCTCCAGCATTTCTCATAGCAGGCTCTCTCTGGTACCCATCAGAGACTTGAAATATTGACTCTGAAACCCCTCATTTCCAGTGGCAATCTTCATTTTCACCCCTGTTGCTTATCAGGTTTTGCAACAGCTAAATCTAAAAAGCAAAGGTCCCACTTTTGCTTAACAAGCCAAGTTCTGATAGGATGTCTGACATTCTGATTCATGCTAGGAATTTGGTGTCCTCTACCTGATGATCCCTGTCTTTTACAAACATTAGAGATGTCTGGGGATTTATAGTAGCATGAGTAAAAGCCTAATTTGTGTGATGATTCAACAACGCAGCTGCTGTGCTTTTTTTTGTATCCTTCCCTATACTGTTTCCACCTGTGGCTCAGGCATTTTTGTTTTGTGCGCTTTCTGATTCTGCACAGGAACGGCACCCAAGGTTGTCTCAATGGCCCTGCAGCTTCTGAAACTCAGCTTGGAACTGATCTGCTTCCACACAGACCACTGACGTGGCCAGTTCAAAAACCAAGTATTCATTGTTTAGCCACCATTGTTTAAATAGTGACTTGCTTTTTTGGGATCCCAGTGTAAATGTAATTTCAAGTCTTGTCTGAGTCCTTTTCCTGTGATCTTCAAGTTTTCATCGCTGCCTTCATTTTTAAGAAAGATCGCTACTGATCATCATGTCAATTCTTGTGTTCCTTAACACAGAATTGCTACTATTGTATTGAATTGGTAAGTGGCATAGGTTCACTTCATGAAAGTCTCAAAATTAACTTGAACTGATAACTTGCATTCCAGGGCAACTTATGTACTTAGTCTGGCATTTTGCTCTTTGGATTCAAAGTTATTGGTCATCTAGTGCTTGGTACTGAAACATACTCAGCTGTTAAGAATAACTTGTTTTGGCACAGTGGTAGTATCCCTTTCCTTGGGCCAGAAGGTTCACGTGTCATCTGTCCAGAGGTGTGTTGTAACATGTCCAAACAGGTTCATTCAAATTATCTACTCAGCTGTTAAAACAGCAATAAATAACTCCTACCAGTAAAGGACAAATGCATTCATGACAGGTAGATTGGGAAAGATGTGTTCAAGTAGATTTTCCTCCGTCGGATCTCTCACCATCTGTCTCAGTATGACACTGGTAGATATTTTATTTAAGGCTTGACTAGTTTAATTATTTACGGCTCTACTGAACTACTCTTGCTGATAGAGATTGAAGCTTCTTCATCCATAGTACATTCTGTGGCCTTGCTACTCCTAGTGCCTCTTCCAAGTGTTGTTTACTGTGGAGGAGTACATATTCATCAGTTGAGGGAGTGTGGTAGGATTCAGCAGGTTTCCTTGTCCACTTTTGATCTAAGTTCATGAAACTTCATGTAGTTAAGAGTCACTGCTGTGGATTATCCGGGCAACTGCCTGACATGAACTCTCCAAATCGGCTAGCACCAACTCCTCAAGAAAAATCACATTCAAAACTATTGGAGACAGCCAATGTTTTCTAAAGAATAATGCATATCTTTGCTTATTTGTTTCTGCTAATTTTTTTATTCATTCACTGAATGAGGGTGTCACTGACTAGGCCAGCATTTGGTGCCCATCCCTAATTGCCCAAAGGGCAGTTAAGAGTCAACCACATTGCTGTGGGTCTGGAGTCACATGTGTAGGCCACACCAGGTAAGGACAGCATTTTCCTTCCCTAAAGGACATTACTGGACCAGATGGGTTTTCCCAACAATTGACAATGAGTTCATGGTCATCATTAGCTCCATCTTAATTGCAGATTTTTTTTATTGAATTGAAATTCTACTATCTGCCATGGTGGGATTTGAACTCAGGTCCCCAGAATATTGCCTGGGTCTCTAGATAATATCACTAGGCCATTGCCTCCCCGCAAAGGTTTCCAGCCTTCGCCATGGGCCTACTCCCAGTGTTGTGGCGTTCAGTTTGAGTCATCATTGCAGATGACTAGTTCTGACAACAGTAATGCAAACCTTGAGACTTGATTTTCTTAATAATATAGTTAACAATCTGACAGTATAGTTTGGTCAGACTTTATAATTGTATGTGTATTTACAATGTGTAAATTTCTAATTTTGAATGAAATTTCTTTTTGTGAATCCAAAGGTCAAAGATGACTGATCCAGATGTTGTGACTGAGGTGCCTGCAGCTTTGAAACGTCTTGCCAAATATGTTATAAGAGGATTTTATGGGCTGGAACATGCACTGGCCTTGGATATCCTCATTAGAAACCCCTGTGTCAAAGAGGAGGACATGCTGGAGCTGCTGAAATTCGACCGCAAACAACTGCGAGCAGTCTTGAACACATTGAAAAATGACAAATTTATTAAAAGTAGAATGCGAGTTGAAACTGCTCCAGATGGTAAAACTACAAGACACAATTATTACTTCATAAACTACCGCCTTCTCGTCAACGTGGTGAAGTACAAACTTGACCACATGAGGCGTAGGATTGAAACTGATGAACGCGATTCCACCAACAGGGCCTCTTTTAAATGTCCCACCTGTTTCAACACATTCACAGATCTGGAAGCAAACCAACTATTTGACCCAATGACAGGTACAGAAAGAGTTTTTTATTCAATTGTTCAACATTCCATCATTTCTTTTAACCAAGTAGTGAACCAGCGAATGAATAGCTGACTGACACAGACACCGAAAGTTCCAATATTAATTTCCATTGTATGTTGAGTTAGCTGAACACCAGAATAGTGCTCAGGATTAGTATGAATATTTTAGGGTCTGGAGGGAAAATCAGCTGATTTCTTGAAATCTGGTTGAAATACTTGTCTTTGAACGGGATTAAGTTGGCCTCTGAAACACTTCAAAACAAAAGAGCATATAATCACCTTTCATGCTTCAGTGATGACCACTTGGAGAAGGGAGGGGAAGCAATGCTGGGTAATGGAGGAAGGAAAGAGATCAATTCTAAAAAGATGTATTGTGTACTGATTTTGATGATTTAAATGTTGAAAATTTGGTTGTTAGACTCAAAAGTATGTTTGGATTTCAGATGATTATTTCTGTTCTTTTGGTGAATTGGCAGTCTTGATTCTACTTATTTTTAATAAACCCATTTAGGAATAAGAGTAGGCTTTTGAGCTCCTCAAACCTGCTCCCTGTTTCAATTAGGTCAGAGTTATCCAACCTTTTCATATGAGTGGCCACATTTCAATTTTTTTCCTCATTCAAGGATAGTGAAAATTTTGGAAAAGTAAGATATTAGAAATTTATTTCACGATTATCAAAACACAATAATATTTAATTCATCATTTTCAAATAAGACTAGTTTTTGTAACTATGCCAAGATGGTATTGGCTTTGTTGTTTGCGCAAACTTGCGTGAGTGCACTCACCATTGTATCCCCTTACTTGCCTCCCCCTGCACTTGTCCATACGGACCTGCCCTCATCCTTTACTGCGCTCCCGTCTTTCATCTGCAATTTCTCTCGTCACTCACGTGGTCACTTATTCATAGTCGGGAGAGAATTGCTCAGGAAGTGTTCAATGTCCACTTGAAGCCTCATGACTTCTGGTCAAATAAGGGCAAAGAAACCTCCCACTAATTACATCTACAACCCCGCTTAACTGATGAATCGGTATTTTTCTCCATGTTAAAGAATATTTGGAAAAACTCAGAGTAGCAAAGATAAAGATGTACTCTGGGTGGGAGTTTTCAGTGTCCATCGCCAAGAATGTCTTGGTAACATCACTACTGACCTGGATGGTTGGATCTAAAGAACGTTGCAGCTGTACTGGATCTGTGACAGACGGTAAGCAGACCAATGGGGGAAAATCTGATTTGACCTCCTCAGTCCACCTTTACAGCTGCCCTGACTGTCTCCACAAGTCACTACCGTTAAATACAATGTCTTATCTTTATATTAATGATACCTTGTATGTTGTGTGGTGCTACTACAGTGCTGAATGGCACAGATTTTAAACAGATCTAGCAACTCCAACCTCTATATGCTGCTATACAGCAGCAGAATTGCATTTTGCAGAATTTGTAACGTTGTTGCCAAGCGTACCCCCCTACTCTACCATTAGCATTAAGTTGTAGGAGGGCATGTCCAGCACAGCACCAAAGATACCTAAATGTAAGTTGTCAGTTGCACGGGACTACTTGCATGCCAAGCAGCAAGCAGAAATGATAGAGCTAAGCACTCCTATAACCAATGGATGTACCTAAAACCTACAGTTCTGCCATATCCAGCTGTGGATGGATTTGAACAATTAGCAAAATAACAGGAAGAGATAGCTCCACATCTTTCCCCATGGGCAATGATGGGGGATCCCTGCATATCAGTGCATCAAAGATAGTGCTGAAGCCAGAGATGCCCAGTGATTGATCAATCTTGTCCATCTCTTGAGGACCCCAGCATCACAGATGTTGGTTCAGCTCACTCTGTGATATCTTCAGTTGCTTCATCAATGACTTTCCTTCCATTCATAATGTCAGCAGATGGAGCTGTTCATTGATGATGTGCAATGTTCAGGACCATTTATGGCTTCTCAGTTGCTGAAGTAGTCACAACACATGGTCAACTTCTAGGATTGGGCTGGTAAGCGGCAAGTAACATTTGGACAATGCAAGTACCACGTAATGACTATCTTGAACAAAACAGAATCTAATCATCTCACTTTGATGTTCAGTGACATTGCTATTGCTGAATCCTCCAAAAGCAACATCCTGGAGGTTATCACTGACTCTCAACACCTTTGCAGAAGTGCAGAATGTTGATGTGTGTACAGAACACAATAATCACTGTTAGGCAAGTTCCTGAAGTGCACTTTAAAATAACGATTGCATGATATGAAGATACAATGCAAATTCAGGCTGGAGTTGAAAGCTGATTTGTTTTATTATTTTAGAGTTCTTTGGTACTGATCACATGGAAGTGAGTGTTTTTGGGACACTGGAGGTGATGTTTTGGTAAAAGGTTGAAATCAAGTTCTGAATAGATACTCTGCTAATAAGGCATGTCTGTTCAATGGCCTGGTCTCAGCACTTGCTATTAGACCTACTGTGAACAAGAGGGAGCAGTGAATTGAATTACTTTCCTGTTGACCTTTTATGTCCGTGATGGGTGGTTTTTATTTTTATTCTTATTTTTCCATTGTAAAATGAAGTGTGGTGGTGATGTTGACTGAAAATGTCTTTGTGAAGTCCAATTTAAAATCACCCACAGCACATTCTTTTGAGTTAAAACAAAGGATTCATTGCTGCATTCAGAACCCAGGGCAATGGTTCGCAACACTTTTTTTTCTCTCTCTATCTCCCTCTCTCTTTCCCACCCCCTCCCCCTCCCGCTCCACTCCCCTTACTTCTCCCCCCTCCTCTCTCACTCCCCTCCCCCCTTTCTCTCCATCCCCCCTTCCTCCACCACACACTCTCTTCTCTCTCAGCCCTGTTGTCTCTTGAGATGGTAAAAACTGCTGATGCTGGAATCAGAGATAACGCAGTGTGGAGCTGGAGGAACACAGCAGGCCAGGCAGCATCAGAGGAGCAGGAAGGTTGACGTTTCAGGTCGGGACCCTTCTCTCTCTCGCTCGCCCCG